TTCTTCGAGTGATTGCTCGTGTGTATTCCACAATAGGTATGCGTGCTCGCCACGTGCACCGGTGTCGGAAGTTTTTCCCCTAGCAGTACCCATAGGGGAGCGCCCTTAGTAACCCCTGGAGTGGCACCTCCATGGCACAGTATAAGGGGCGCGGTGTGCTCCCCCAACCCTCAGTTCCTTCTTGCCGCCAGTGAAGTTGCTTCGGAACTGCTTTGCTGTAGCTTGTCCCAGAACTCTTGTTTGTTCAGTGTATGTGACCTGTAGTTAGTACTCGATTAGTTTTAGTTTAGTTAGTACGCCCGGGCTGGGGCAGGCCGTGCACCCCGGGTTTTAAGTCGTGTGACACTTGTAGGTGTCCGATGCCAGTGAGTGATCTGCACGTGGAATGTTTATGCTGTTTGGGTGAAACTCATCTCAGCGATCGCTGTAAGATTTGCAAGTTATTTAAGCCTCGGACCGAGAGAGAGAGAGACATTAGGCTCTGGGCTGTCCTCATGGAGTTGGCGTTGACCCCAACTGCGGCGCGCTGCTCTGAGTCGGCACCGGGCACCATGATGTCGGTGCGCGGCGACCCCTTGGCCCCAGCTACTAGTCGGCACCGCTCCCTGTCCACGGGGCATGCTAAGAAGAGGCCTTCTCCACCGCGGCACTGGAGTAAATCTGGGGCAGAGCTAGACCTGTGTTGGGCAGTCCTCGATCCCTATCGGCCTCTAGGCCTCCGACTCGGTGGTAGCGGCCTACCTCAGGCGCCGGGGGGGTCCAGATCTTCCCCTCTCTGGACAACTGGCTGGTCAAGGGCAGCTCCCGGTTGCAGGTGTGGGATCACGTGGCACTCCTGTCCATATTCGCCACTTTAGGCCTGTTGGTTAAACGACACCAAGTCCACGTTAGTCCCGGTACAATGCATAGAGTTAATCGGGGTGGTCCTGGAAGCCACGTCGGCCAGAGCCTCCCTCCCTCAGGACAGGTTCAAGACCCTGAAAGGGCTCATAGACACGGTCACAAGGTTTCCATTGACAACAGGCAGAGCGTGCCTCCAACTCTTGGGTCACATGTCTGCATGCACGTATGTGATCCACCACGCCAAACTCAGGATGCGGCCCTTCCAGCTGTGGTTGGCCTTAGTGTTCTCCCAGGTCAGAGACAGGAGGGACAAAGTCCTCACTGTGCCTGAACCGCTGATCACCTCCCTACGATGGTGCCTCCCCAGGGAACACGCTACATGGGGTCCCGTTCAGAGGCAGGCCCCCGTCAATGGAACTGGTGTCTGATGCATCAGATCTGGCCTGGGGAGCCCATGTGGGGGACCTTCAGACCCAAGGTCTGTGGTCTGCACAGGACCTGGCCCTCCACATAAACATCAAGAAGCTCCACATCCCGCCCTCCTTCCCCTCTGTCGGAGTTGTCTGGTGAGAAGGAACTGAGGGTGGGGGAGCGTGCAGCGCCCCTTATACCGCACCATGGAGGCGCCACTCCAAGGGTTGCTAGGGGGAAAAACTTGCGACACTGGTGCATGTGGCGAGCATGCACACCTATTGTGGAATACACATGAGCAACACATCTTGAAGAACACCAGTTATGGAAAAGGTAACTGTCTCTTTTTCTGTTCTTCACGTTACTAAGGTACATGGCTAAAATTAAAATTCAACTAAGCACTTTTTTTACCCTTAAGAGCACTGCACTGATTATCACCTCCCTTTTAATAGTAGCAGGTGTGAAAAGTGGTAAAGCTCCAGGATCTGATGGCTTTCCAGCTGAATTTTAGGAGGTAATAGGGGGTCCCTTGAGAGGAACATTCAATACCATTCTATTAGGGGAGGAACTTCCATAACCTATGAAAGAAGCTACGGTGGTGGTTCTCCCTAACGCTGGAAAAGATCCTATCGTTATGCAGCTCCTGTTGACCCATATCACTGCTGCATCGTGACAAAGATTTTAGGAAAATTACTAATTAGCCAATTGCAATCAGTGTTCTCACCTTATATAAATCCAGATCAGACTGGATTTATTAAGGATAGACAAATGTCAGACAACATTCAGAAAGTACTTGCAATCATCCCTAATGCCAGAACAAAAAGAAATCTTTAGTTATGACTTGATGCAGAGAAAGCCTTTGATCGAATGGCGTGGAACTTTGTTTCAAGTCCTGTCCTACATGGACATTGGTCTCACTTCCTTAAATGGATAACTGCTCTTTACACCACCCCAAAAGCAGCTGAGAGTTAATCGGGTTAAGTCTCCCCTATTTGAATTACAGAGAAAGACTAGGCCCGCTGTTTCCTTTTCTTTTTGCACTGGTGCTAAGGAACAGTTAATGTGTCATAAGAATAAAACTTTGGACAGGAACACATCAGAAAATAGCTTTATATGCAGATGATGTAATATTTTTATCTAAGCCAAATATTTCCCTCAAATTAGTTTCTAAAGAAATCCAGGAACTTGGGGAAGTGTCTGGGTTTAAAATACATTATACCAAATCTGAAATGCTAGCTATAAGTTTTCCAGACTCTGAAAAGTCACTCTTCCTAAAATTTCTGGGTTCAAATAGGTAACAGATTCTATAAGATAGCTGGGAATTCAAATCTCAAACAAACTATAAAAACTCTATTATTTAAATATCAAACCCTGACTTCAGCAAATTAAAACAGAGCTGTATTGCTGGGGAAAGTCTGCAATTTCTTGGTTGGGAAGAATTGCTGCAGTCAAAATGAACATTTTGCTAAGTATCTTGTTTCAAAATCTTCCTGTAATCATCTCAGGTAAAACCCTAGCAGGAATACAGAGCATGTTGTTAGAATGTATATGGAATAAGAGAAGACCAAGAGTAAGTGCAGATGGACTCGCTATTCCAAATATTCTACGGTACTATGAAAGCCAGCTAGCTCAAAGCAGTAGTGGATTGGTGGCACTCTAACACTGCCAAAGACTGGGTCTTTACTGAACAAAGAAGTTGTGCCAGTGTAAACCTCACTAGGCTACCATGGATTAATTAAAAAAAAAAACACCCTCCAGAAATGTATACACATCTTTTGGCAAAAACTCTATGGTTTTGATATATTACATTTTCTCTTGTTTTTTTTCCTTCCCCATGCCACTTTTAAATAATCCAGATCTTAACCAAGTGACAAGCATTTTTAAGATTCAAAGAGCCATAGAATACATATGGTTGGCCAGCTCTTCAGTAAAGAAACTTTTCTAACCTAGTTAGAGATCAAAATTAACTGGCCCACTCTTTTGTAGCACCAGTACTTTTGAGAGACATAATGCCTCACTCAACTTTCTAGCAGAAAAACTGTATACAGAAAGATAACTTTAACAGAAGTGATGGCATTATAACTTATTTGGCATATACAGTCTAGTCAAGCCAAGCTACACAGTGTTCTTATCAATTATTTATATATTGAATTGATAATCTTTACAACTTTTCTAACAAAAGTCCACATATGACACTGGGAAAAGGACATGTATAGACAAATTACTCCAGAGGCATGGAAAAGAGGGCCAGCAACCTTAGTTTGTAGCACAATAAAATACACTTTATTTAAGATACTGTTTCAATGGTACCTCTCACCAGTCATGTTAAAATGTAGAGAGAGATTGAATAGGGATAACTGTTGGAGAAATTGTGGTAAAAGAGGAGATTTTATGTATATATGGTGGACTTGTCCAGTCATTGGAGAGCAACAGGATGCAATCTGTAACCAACTACCACTATTTGGTGGATATATTACCAAATGATCCTTTGGTAAACTTCCTAGGGCTTCCTACTGGAAATGATCACACAAAAGGAAATGAATTGATCTTTTGTTTGCTAGTAGCTGCTCAGCTACTGATAGCATCTCATTGGAAAAAGAAAAATAGTCCAACTATAGAGGAATGGTTCAAAAATATGGGAGATTGTGGCTATGGAAATATTAACATGCCAATTATGTACCCAGCAAAATATGGTCACCTTAACTCTGCTAGACCAATAAGCATTCTACTACCAGATAGCCTATCCCTGTGTAAGCACATGATAACATCACCTCTTAGCCTTCTAATAATACTTCTGACAAGGAAGCCAAGCTTGCTGGGATAGAAAGTTCACAACTCCTTGGAGCAGTGTATTTAAACACCTAGGTCGGGTCTAATAGGGAATGTACAGCCATCGGTGCTGGAAGTAGGGGTTTTGGGAGGGGCAGTGCTGTAGCACCCCCTGGTTTGAAGTGGTTTCTGTCATATACAGGGTTTACAATTTGGTTCAATGGCGCTCAGCTCCCCCACTGTACAAATTGTTCCAGCAACTCTGTGTACAGCATAAGATTGTACTCAGCGTAGTATTTTGCTTGCTAACTGAACGAACACAGCCATAAATATTGTGTATGTGGCTGCCACAATTGTAGAAGAAAGACGGGGCAACGCTGACCTCAGAGAACTACCAATGCCCAGGAGGCTGCAGAGCCCCGCCCTCCAGGCGGCTCTGGCCCGGCCCCCGCAGAAATCCTGACTCCAGCCCCGCCCTCCAGGCAGTTCCATCTTAGCCCCGCCCCCTGTCGTGTCCCCGCCCCTCGCGCCGGCGCCGTGCTCGCGGACTGGAGGATGCCGTAACTGGCTGCGGGTCACCATGGGCAGCAAGATGGCAGCCGCCAGCAGGGTCGTTCAGGTAACTAGAGTTGTTTCCCCGCGAAGGGGGCGGGCCCGGAGCTCTGCGTTCGGCCGCCCGGGGGGAGGCTAGTGGGGTCAGCCCACCTCCGACGGCGGCTGGAGACGTCGGAGCAGCCGCAGAGCGAGAGCGGCCGGGGCTGATGCCCTTGGCCTGGAGGTGCCGTTGGGGAGCCGGGGCGCTGGTGGGGGCTCTGGGCAGTGGCGGGCCGAAGTGCTTCTGGACCCGAGTTCGGAGAAGGGGCGAGCGGGTCTGAGCTGCGGGGGGGATACGAGTGAGGCCGGGCGCGCGCTGGGGGTCATTGACAGCAGGGGGGGCCTCACTTCCCCGGGGGCGGGGACTCTTCCGCGAAGCGGCGGGAGGACGTCGGGACGGAACCCGGACTGCCGCTGCCCACGGGCTCATCCTGGCTTCCATGGGTGATATTCACTTGCCATGCAGTGGCTGCAGCCAGGCTCCCTTCAGAGCTGCTGCCGCCCCACGCGCGGGCCTTGTCGTGGCCCCACAGCCCGGCTCTGCGTTAAGGTGCAAGGCCCGAGGCTCTGCTCGCACGACCCGTCGTTTCGTTCTCGGTGCATGGAAGCGCTCAGGGCTCGCACAGCAGCCCCTGGGGGGGGGTCGCACGGGTGCGGTACGTGGAGATGCTGGCGGCGCCTCATCACCCTGGGAGAGCTTCCTCGGGAGACTCGGAGGAGCTGGTGAAGAGAGGGCGCAGAATCGAGGGAGGGAATAAATCTTCGCTGCTCTTTCTTCAAGAGCCTGTATTCCAATTTTTTTCATTCTGGTTTAGCTATGTGGGCAATAGCCTGCTCTAATTGTCTTCAGCTGCCGCTTTAAGTGACACCAGCTTGCAAATCACACCTCTGTCAAAAATAAGCACCTGTTATTAGTACAAGTAACCGTTAAGATACATGAAAGAGATTTGAGAAAAAAAATTCTTTTCATTTTTTTCCAGTCTTGTTTCCTTTGTGCCTTTGACAGTACTCAATGTGTAGTAGAATTTGCTTTTCTGCTTCATGGACCAAGCAAGTAGGGGCTCTCCAATGTCTTGATCTTCTCACATCCCTTTCTTCCCTACCCCTGTTGACTAGTCACCTGGTCTGTTGGACCCAGTGCTCAATTGCCTGCTTCTCTTGTGGTATTATTCCTACTGCTATAGGGATGCTAGCAAATTGCCTATCTTGCAGTAGCCCTCATGAGAAGGAGATTATGCACCCTCAAAATGTCACCTTCCCATAAATGCTTATTTGCAACTCAAAAATTGCTGTTCTTGGGAATGAGGGAAAGCCCTTTTTTAAAAAATTATTTTAAAGAAATAAACTTTTGGAAAAATCAATGCAAAAAATATTTTAATGTAGATGGGGGTTGAACTCCACACCTACTAATGTATAGCTGTTTACTTCTGAGACTAGTTAACTCTGTCCCTCCATCTGAGCTAATGTGAAAAGGCAAAAAGGAGCCAAAGGTCCCATGATCGTAGCACAAAAACATTAGAATCCAATTTATACTGCAGTTATAGTTACTCCTCTATAAGCCATAGTTAGTTGTGTGGAAACTAAAAAAGCATTGCATTTGCTTTACAGTCTAGTACAATTTTGAATCTGAAATGTCACTTGAACAGTCTTAGCCTTGATTAAAAAATAAAATTTAAATTATTGTAAATCTCCCAAATCTGGTGTTAATGAAAGCACAAAGCAACAGGGTCAAAATAATTGGGTAGTGTGTAGCATTCTTGCCATGAAAATCTCATGAACTTTTACATTTTATTTACCCAAACTTTCTCTCTTCTCCCCCCCGCCCCCGCCCCTGCCTCCTTCCACTGCTGTGTCTTGTTTTAGGTAGTCAAGCCACATACACCCTTAATCAAGTTCCCGGACAGAAAAAATAGTCCCAAACCTAAAAGTAAGTATTTCATTTGTAAATAAAACTTATACCATGTCATACTTATTTGCCTTAATAATTACATAAGGACCATGACACATTGTTTCTTTTTGACTTATATGGCTCAATTATTTCTGAGCATTGACCTAGTTTGGTGGCAGCTGCCTTATTTTACGCTTTAGAAAACAGACCGTACTTAATGCATAAAACTGAGATTACCTTATTTCCTCTATTGCTCAAGCAGAGTTTTGAGGATCTCCATTTTTATCCTCCTACTTTAATCTTATACTATGAGCTCATTTTGCAAACACTAATCTCCATTTATGAGAGGCTGTGCTAAATTCACTTTTAAGCAGCATGAGTTTTCAATGAAGTTTCCTTGCTTTGTCTGATGTATTTAAAATCCTGATGGTACCTGGGAGGGCAGTTTACTCCCACTATGCATACGGGGAAAAAAGTTGTTATATTTAAAAAAACAGTACTCAATCTGACTTTACTGTATATCTGTATATTACTACATTGATGCTTACAGGATACCAATCACCATCATATGTAGACATCAAAGTTGTCATATTGCTCCTTTAAAATGGGATTGTGTATTGTTATGACTAACATTCCTCTTGACTCAATAAAGTATTTGAAACAAAAATAGATGTTTTTATGAAATTCTGGCCCAATACTTCACTTTTTGTCTGGAGGCTGTGATAATTCCTGGTTCATTCCTCTTTTAATTCAGTACCTGTTCTTAAATATTGGAGTCAAACCTGTTCAGCGCGTCTAAAATTAAATGATCCCTTCCTGTTGATGTCCCCAGAGCTCACCTACTCATTTTAAGGTTTTTCACTGGTGGTGGTAGAGGTAGATATAATGAACATTACAATACTATAGAATTTTGAAAAATTAGAACTTTAATTCTTGGAATCTAATGCTTCAACCCTCCATAAAAATATTTTTATTTAAAAAAATAAATCTGGTGACTGTACAAGAGATTGATCTTCAGTTGATGGCCTTCCTGCAAAATATAGTTGGAAGCCACTTTAATTATGCAGCTGCATTTTTGTCACCTGTATTACTTTGAACTGATTTACATTTTTTACTTGAGTAGTAGTACTACATATTTGCTAATAAACTAGCCTTTCTCTTGAGTTCGTATACCAGTTAAATCACAATTGAGACTTGAGAGTTTAGTTTTCCTGTTAATGCCACAAAATATCTATTGGTTGGCTTTATTGGTGGTTTTGACCTGAGTTTGAATTTCCATTGAATACTTTTGTTAAAAATTAAGTATATTGACAGAATTCTGTGCAGTGTTTTGGTCAGTGTTTGCCCACTGCCATCTACAAATTGCCATCTAATTTGTATCCAGTTCCAACACCCATAGACTTTAAGGTCAGAAGGGACCATTATGATCATCTAGTCTGACCTCCTGCACAACGCAGGCCACAGAATCTCACTCACCCACTCCTGTAACAAACCCCTAACCTATGCCTGAGTTACTGAAGTCCTCAAATCGTGGTTTAAAGATTCTCAAGGTGCAGAGAATCCTCCAGCAAGTGACCCGTGCCCCACACTGCAGAGGAAGACGAAAAACCTCCAGGGCTTCTGCCAATCAGCCCTGGAGGAAAATTCCTTCCCAACCCCAAATATGGCGATCAGTTAAACCCTGAGCATGTGGGCAAGACTCACCAGCCAGCACCCAGGAAAGAATTCTCAGATCCCACCCCATCTAACATCCCATCACAGACCATTGGGCATATTTACCTGCTAATAATCAAAGATCAATTAATTGCCAAAATTAGGCTATCCCATCATACCATCCCCTCTATTCCATTGAAAATCTTTTTCAATGATTGAATAAACAACTCATTTCTCATCTCTTATTCTTCTAAATCTGATGTGCAAGTTCTGATTAGAGCTGGCTGAAACTCACAATTTTTGATTCATGAGAAATTTCAGCTTTTCAGAAGTTGGGGGTTTGTTCTCATCATAATCAAACCAAATTTGTTGAAATATTTCAACAAATCCAAAATTTCAATTTGGAGACACTGAAACATGGTGTTTGTGGAATGAAATATGGGAAACTAATCAGAATGCTGTTCACTGAATGTCAGTTTCATTAAGCCCCTGCTGGGATTCCCAGGGTCTATGGTCCAGCATGACTCTTCAGCTTCCCTGGAAAATTTTGGACTAGCTTTGGTTGTGACTGTTTCGTGTGTGTGTGTGTGTGTGTGTGTGTGTGTGTGTGTGTGTGTGTGTGTAGTAGT